GTAATCTAGTGCATCTATTACCTGGAAGAACAAAATAAAGCTCTTTCTTCAATTTTCAGTTGCAAAGACCTACCGACACTGCAATATGCCCTATAACATTCTCACTAAACCGGGTATGGTGAAGGTTATATACACGCTTATAGAGGATATCCAGAGAAATATCCATTAACTCCATGCATATCCAACAGTCACCCTGTAAAAATGCCTTGACAAATTTGAGAAATAACTGATCAGAGATTGAAAATAAGATGCGAGTGAACTTAAACAAGATATACAAATCGAAAAGAAAACTGTTTTTACAGCTCGTACAGCGTTTGAAGTTGACAAATAACATTTCTTGGTCTTTCTTGCCTTAGACCCACAAGTGTTATACCGTGCTTATAAACACAAAAGTAGTGCTAGAAGGACTTCTTAGCAAGGAAAAAAGCTTAAAATGAAAACCAAAATTGCGTTACGAAACAAGCAAAAGAGCCTAAATGGAAAGCATACCTCATGTAAAATAGCACCGAAGAACTTTACTATATTTGGACATTGCTCCGAACGCATTATGGTGTCATGTTCACGAATGATCTTCTCCTGTTCACGATTATTGATGTTGTTACAACGAATTCTCTGAAATAGGAAGCTTTTTTACGTTATGACAAACTTTACAACATTAACATGATAGATTACCTTCACGGCCATTTCCTTTCCGCTCTCAGTATGTATCATTTTGTAAACTGATCCAAAATTCCCGCTCCCAATCTTTCCACAGTCTTCGAGGTTCGCCGCAGTGAATGTGTAGGCATTTTCTTCCCCAGGAAATTTAAGAGTTCCCGTAGATAGCGTTGTTCTAAAAAAACCAAATCCTAAAATTTGCAAATACGGACTAATTGATTAATTGGGAGCAAGCCTTGTGCTAGCATTAGAACATGCACTTCATGTTCTCAAGGAACAAGGACACTCAATTTTGTTAAAAAAAAGATGCATTTATGAAGCAGTATTTAGTAAAAAAAAGTGAGTATGTTAATGGAAAAAAATAACTTACAGAAGAACGTTTTCGTACTGTGGTGGTGCAAAGCTCAGCTCTAATTGAGGGCGGTGAGGTAAGCGGCCGTCGTCCAACATTTTCTACAAATTCAAGTTCCCTTGGACAAATGATAAATGTTCAAAACCAGGAAATACCAACCATGGGAGAATGGGCAACATGCACCATTCACTTGGAGTCGCACACTAGGAAAAAGTAACCTCACAACGGAACGTTGGCCGTTGCAGCTACTGCGCAACGCCAAACGCTGACTTTACCCTCTCTAAAAGTGAATAATGAGCATAGACTATGAAGGATATTTTTAAAGAAGAAAAAGTATGAACACTTAGCGAAACTCAGTACGAGTATTACTGCAAAAAATCAATTACTGGAAGACAGCGGATTCACGATAGGAGCATTTATTGTGAGCTGGAGCACGGAAAATTCTTTTTAAGGTGCAGCTGATGGGCAAAAAATCGACGTTTTAAAATTTTGTTTGACCACAGAGGATCCACAGAA